ACCCGGTTCTCCCAGATTAGAGTCTGCACACTTAACCACTACACCAAACTGGTGTTATCGAGGCAACTAACATGAAATTGAGCACGCTCCGGAGGACAACAGAGGACAGGAGGGCCTGGCGTGATGTGGTCCATGGGGTCGTCGTGAAGAGTTGGACTTGACTGTGCGAATGAACAACGACTGTGTACCAAAGGGTGGGTTACAAATCTGATTTAATATATATTTAATAAATATCACATATTAATAAACATATAAAGGTGCGACCTTTGTATGGTGCTCCATCTGGCTCGTCTGTCAGTCAGTCACAGCCTCTCAGCCTAATCTGCCTCACAGGGTTGTTGTGAGGATAAAATGGAAGAGGGGAGGACACTGCAAGCCACTTCGGGATCTCACTGGGGAGAAAGGCTGGGTCTAAATGAGATAGATACAAAAAATAAGTCTTCCAGCTGGCGGTGGCTCTGAGACCTCCCTGAGAGGGACCTAAGAAGACCCTCTAGCTGGAGACACCAGGGACTCGGCCAGGGGCTGTTTCCACACAGAACTCTTGCTCTGTCCCCCCCTTCAGGTTTTTTTTTGGGGGGCATCATTGTGCAGCTGTCCTCCTTCCGGGGTCTGTTGCGTTCCTCTCTGCAGTCCCCCCAAACCTGCATGAATGTGGGCTTTCCTTAAAAATTGTACTCAAAGGTTAAATCTGCATTTGTCTTCCCCACCGGTGTCCCAGCCTTCTGACACCCTCTTTAAAAAAGCTGGCTACATTTGGCGTCGTTTTCACACCTCAGCAGTGTTAGCATACTTTTGCACCTCCGCATATGTTCATCGCCCTTTCGTGGCGGCTCCACTGTCATTGCGCCTCCCCACTGCTTTAAAAGAATCTTCTCCAAACAACATTCAAACATGCATAGAGAAAGACGGCGTCGCAGCAGCACGAAACTGATTTTAAAAATGCAAATGCAGATTCGACCAAAGAGGGCTTGGGGAGAGTCTGGATGTCTGGTGGATTTCTGCACCCCCTCCCACTCACTATTACAAAAAAAAATAAGTAGTGGATCTATATTTCTATAGCGTCCTTCACTATCATGATGTACCCCAAACCAGTGAAAATGGCAAAAAGCCCACTGGAGGTGAGGGTAACAAATGGTGGGTGGGATGAGAAAGTGGCTCCTTTGCCACTGAAAAGGCCTTTGCTTTCTCGATGACACTGAAAGCCAAGTGGGGACTCTCCCCCTGTAGAAGCAACATAGAACTTTCATGCTGCATAGCATGTGCTCTACCCAGGATTTTTTTTTTGTAGAAAAAGCCCAGCAGGAACTCATTAGCATAATAGGCCACACCCAGCAGCAGAAACCCATTAGCATATTGGGCCACACCCCATGCCTTCCCTTGGCTGGGGCACCCAGGCAAGCCCCTCCCCCTTGAAGGGAAGGGAAGGCAGTTTAAACTGCCGGCCCTTGGACAGGCCGGGGAAGACACGCCCCCCTCTGGCCCGCCCACCTCAGAGTCACTGAGGGGGCTTTTTATTGCTCTCCAGGTCTTCCCTCTGTAGCCACACACGCTGAGGTTTTGGCTGTAGTGGGCGTGGCCAACTCTGAAGCCAGCCGGGACTCCGTTCCTGTGCGTTCCTGCCCAAAAATAGCCCTGGCTCTACCACAGCCCTAAACTAGTGTCACTGCAGAATGCCAGCACTGCGACATGCAACAGCACCATCATGAATAATCAGTCTCTTAGAACAAGGAACAACCAATACTGATTAAAATACAAAAACATGTCCTGCACTGGCACATACCCTTGGACAGACAGGCTGTAAAACAGCTGTGCTTCGGAATGAACATTTGTTGCTTGATGGCGGCAACATTTTGCATGTGCGCATGGGGCCATCACAGATCGGATGCCACATCTAGAGCTTCTGCCTCACTTCTGATAGATTTAAACTGCCAGCCATCTAGTGCAAGGCAGGGCAATTGTGAAATGATGTGCACACATGGGGAACCAGCAGGAAGATTTCCAGTCTTCAGATCAAGCAGGCAACTGTGCGGCTTCCTGACCCCCAGAAGGAAGAACCTGGGCTTCCTCTTCATCCTGCCTCTGCATTCGAGCACATACCCTCCGGTTTGCAGAGCTCGGCATCAACAGGATTTGACCCGCTAAAGAAGACACCTTTGATGCTAACATGCTCCCCAGCTACATGCCACTATGACAACTCCCTCAGACAGCACATTAGTGAGCCTCACAGGCAATGTGAAAGAGTAGGGGAAAGCAGGAAACACACATCTTCCTCCTTTCCCCAGGCATTAGATCCAAATAAGAGCTGAGGGCAGATCTAGACATTACTTTGGCAAATGAGTGTTCTTCTGGGACACAGGAATCCGTTGCAAGGCAGATTTTGGGGTGGGGTGGATTTTGAGTGGAGAAATGCTCATTTTTTATCCTCTCAAAAAAAAGTTCCACAACTCCCCCCCCCCTTTTTGCAGGTTTCCAGCTATTTTATTTTTGCATTTTTATCTTGATGAAGTGTTCTGGAGAATTCAAAAGCTTGCATACTGTTCTGTGTTACTTGGGTTGGTCTTAATAAAAAGTAATAACTTAAAAATTTTTTTGACCAACATGTCTACCTGGAATTTCTGTCTTTTCTTGTGTATGGAAGTCACAAACACCCTGTTTCATGTACCACTGTCGATTTAATTACTGCCAGCAACTACTTTCTTCTGTGAACACATGGGGCTGCCTTGTGCCAAGTAAGATCAGAGATCTATCAGGGTCAGTATTGTCTGTTCGGACTGGTAGTGACTCTCCAGAATCTTAGGCAGAGGTCTCATGGAGGTGCCAGGGATTGAACCTGGGACCGTCTGCATGCCAGGCAGATGCACTACCCCTGAGCCACAGCCCCTCCCCATTCTTGCATAGGAGTATACATTTTCAGCAGAAGCTGACAGTAATAGAAATACACCACTGATGTGGTTCCTAGGGCTGTTGTTGTGAGGCCCGTGAAATGGATAGTCTTGCACTTATTCTACAACACAGAGTTGCCCACAGCAGGTGGGAGCTCTGGGTTTAAATGTTACCTCTGCTAGAGACTTATTGAGTGGCCTTGGGCAAGTCGCTAGCTCTGGCCCGAGTTCCCCAATTGTAAAATAGGGATGATTGTGTATTTATCTTACCGGGCTGTTGTGAGAGCTGCAAATTTAAAATAGTCGAGCAGTTGGCAAATGGGTCAAAGAGATGACTGCACATCCCTTTCTCTTCTCTTCAGCATCAGGTGCATATTTGGAGCTGCTTCTAGTGAGCAATTCTGCAAACAGAATGAACCCCACCACCAGGTGTGTGACATGGAGCAGGGATCCTTAATAGCCCCAGTGTTTCTTCTCTTTCTCTACCCCCCCCCCAATCAACAGCAGGGATTGCTTTGCTTGGGGGCGGGTGATGGGAAGAGAGTTGTACTAATAGCCCTGACATTTGTCAAGACACTGGAAGACTTCAGTCAGTGAACATTTACATTGTACTCACTGCTGAATATGTCACGTTCCAGAACGTTAATGCTGGTTGTGAGGAAGTTGTTGGCTGTGTCAAGAAGAAATATTGGGGTTGGGTTCCCCCCCCATGGTATACCATTTGGAAAGAGGACTGGCTCCCACGATCATTTTTGCCAACAACTGTTGTCCACAGGATCCTCCTTAATCACGGAGGCCATCAACAGAAGGGCAGGAAGGAGCCAGACCCCCCATCCATCTTGTCTGGATCTGCCTCAGCTGAGAACCTCCTGCTCAGGGACCTTTTATTTTTGGTGGGATATTTTAATTGTCATTTGTGAAGGTTTTCAACTCCTGCCAGTCGGTCTGGAAACCAGTGTTGTCTGAAAAGCAGGATAAAAAACAATGGAAAAGGCGAGTGAGTGAATGAATGAATGGACACATGAATGAATGAAATCCTCTCTAGCACATGTGACATTGGATGGAGGAACACACTGTGGGCACCTGAGAGTAGCACTTTAGAGACAAGCAGCATTGATGCCAGCATAAGGTTTCCTGAGACATAGGCCGTATCGGCATTTGCATTTTAAAATCATTTTTGTGATGCTGGTCTTTCTCTATGCTTGTTTGAATGTTGTTTGGAGAAGATTCTTTTAAAGCAGTGCGGAGGTGCCATGACAGCGGAGCCGCCCCGAAAGGACGATACACATGTGGACTTGCAAAAGTATGCTAGCACGCTTGAGGTGTGAAAACGACACCAACTGTAGACAGCTTTTTTGAAGAGGGAGTCAGAAGGCTGGGACACCGGTGGGGAAGACAAATGCAGATTTTGCCAGAGGGCACACCATGGAATGCCAGGTCTGTTTCTCTTGCGCACTTGCACAGGCGAACGGTCCCTCGCGGACAGCGGCTCTTTCCTATCCCCCCAAACCCAATGCTTTTCAGTGGTGACATTTCACACATTCCAGAGGACAACCACGGCTTTTCTTGCGGCCATCTGTCCAAAACCCCAGCCGTGCAGTGTTATGCACCAATCAGCCACCCCGTTGTGAGCCCGTGGTTAACTTGGCAGCAATTTCTGGACGGCATCGACCCTTAAGTCAGAGCGGCAGAGCTTGTGGAAAGGGTCGCCGAGCCGCGGACGTCCCAGTTCAGACGAGACGTTCTTCACACAGCCACACACCGGCGGGGGGTGATGATGGGGGTGGGATCCGATCAAATAAGGGCGCGGGTAGGGGGACACGGCAGGGGGGCTGGTCCTCCTCCTGCGCTCCGGCAGGTACTCGCAAGATCCCGAACCGTCTCCTTTCCCGGTCATCTGGAAAAAAGCAACGGCGGAAGGAGGCTGGCTGTCCGCTGGGCAGGCTCGGAGGCATCGCTTCCTTTTGACGGCGCCACTTGGCTGCCGTCCGATCCGCATGTCCCGGGGGTGGTGTGTGTGG